ATGACAAAAAAAACGACGGGCGACGGACGACGCACGGCGGGCGACGCACGACGCACGACGGGCGACGCACGACGGGCGACGCACGAGGGACGACGCACGACAGCAGATATGGAATTCCATACTCTTAGTGTTTACTGGCTGAACTATGGTGTTCTATTCCCGCCATTTTGGCGTCGGGTCGTACCGTTGCTCCGACGCCACGACGCGACGGCACGAGGGCACGATACGACGGCACGACGCGCCGGCACGATGCGACATTAACAAGAAATAGCACGACGCGACGGCACGACGCGACGGCACGACTGCACGACGCGACGAAATTAGCTCAGCATGAACTCAATAAGAAAGGAGGCGACGGCACGACGCGACGCCAAAATGGCGGGAATAGAACACCATAGTATGGTGTACTATTTACGACAAACATTTCTCTCTCTCTTTAGCCTCCCCCCAGGCGACGCAACCAGACGACGCGACGGCTCCCTTGCGTCGTGCCGTCAGGTCGCACCTTCGCCTTCTTGCCATTACTTTTGTACACACTCGACGCGTCGCGTCGTGCGTCGCGTCGTGCCGTCGCCCGTCGCGTCGTGCTAGGTACCAGGCCATGATTCTGTTGTTCTGTTGTTGATTTGTTGATCCACGAAAAAGAACAACAGAATCATGGCCTGGCACCTGTGGCACGTACTGTGCAAGCAAGGGTCGGGGGAAGGAAATGAAAGAAAACAGTAACGGCGCCTACAAACACCATGAAGCAAAGCTCGACAGCACACGTCGCGTCGTGCTTCGTGTCGTGCGTCGTGTCGTGCTTCAGGCGACGCAATACACGACACGATGCACAACGCGACGCACGACAGCTCGACGCGACGGGCGACGAAAGGGGCGACGTTTAGGCGGCAAAAAATGCAACATGGAAAGGGCCTAACGTAGCACGACGCGACGGGCGACGGCACGACGCGACGCACGACGCGACGCGTCGTGTGTGTACAAAAGTAATGGCAAGAAGGCGACGGTGCGACCCGACGGCACGACGCAAGGAAGCCGTCGTGCCGTCGCGTCGTCTGGTCGCGTCGCCTGGAGGGAGGCTAAAGAGAGAGACAAATGTTTGTCGTAAATAGTACACCATATGAACTGAAGACTCAGTGTGCAATGAAACAAAGGACAGTGTGCTACACAGGTGCCTAGAGGGGGTCACTAAATGAACTCACAAGGTCCTAGAGGGGGTCTCACAGTGAACTCACACAACAGCTGACTTGGCACAGCCAACTGAGGGCGCTAGGCAAATAACATAAAAAGTGACCTGTCACATACATTACATCTGTCATATGTACATGTATCACATTTATGACGAATCTTACATGAATTCGTTTAGGGAAGTTCGAAAAATTCATCACAATCTGCTTTAATCTATTTATCACCATGAAAAAGTGGGAGGTGATTAGCCCTCATTCCACATGCGTCAAAAGCTCTCGTTGGTCGGTGACCAAAGATTCGGCTGTATCAAAAAGAAGGCAGCTGCATTTCCATATCGATTAGAGCTGGACGATCTTTGACCATCTGTGCATAGCGTATGCGTTGTGCACGAGCAAAGGAAACTAAACGCATTTAAAATTTGTTGGACGAGTTTCTTTTCACAGTATGAGATAGCTTTCCATGTACATGAACAGTTAGTCAGCTCAACAAATCTGTGCTTTCACCAGTGGGCCCTATAGGTATGTTCAGAAACTAATTTTTTTAATCCGTTCAGTTGAAAAGCATCATTCCTCACATTTTTTGAGGATTATATTTGTTTACATCTTTCTAATTCCTGCTTTTAGATGATATTAAGTGATTCAGATGCCTTATTTTCATCGTCATTATTTTCATTAGCTAACTTATTTTCATTAGCTAACTTATTTTCCACCTCTGATCATTCTCCTCCATTTACTTGACCCCTCCTTGTCAAGCTTCACTATGTTAAGCTGTACAGCCTGAACGAAAATACTTGCTGCAGGAATACTCGTTACGAGATAAAGGCACGTCCGTGATGTGTGCATAGAGCAAGAAAACAAAAACAAGAAGCTGTCCAAAAATTCGCAACCGACATACTACATACTTTTCACTTTTGGTACAAGTGCCGACCAGGCAACCAAGACCAGAAGGTCAGTGAAAATGGGGCTCAACAGCAAAGAATCAACCGAGGTATTGGGGTAAACTTCTACACCGCGGCAGATGCTAGAAAAGTCGATTTTGCCTCTTCCAACACATGGTGTTTTGTGACGCAAAATGAGAGTCCTTTTATTTGTTATTTGCTTAGTCCGTTTGATCAGACAACAGTTCGGTCTGTTTATTCCAAAGACATACCACGCGAGGATACCTTGCCATCACAGGTCATGCTTCCACAATTTTATAGTTGTGCCGCCAAGGCGTGGTCTCTGAAATCCTTCTTTCTGGTCCTTATCACAGCATTCAGATGCACACAGGCAGGTGAGTGTTCTCAGTCATGCCCTAAATATGCCCCCAGAGCTATGGCTATATACATAATTGATGTCAGCACGTGCTCGTGTAAAAGTACATGCATAATTTCCAACCGGCGAAGACTTAAACCTGTACAAGATTCAGATGCGCCTGCCTAGGTCTTTAGAAAAGGGATGAAGTCAGTGAATTCCTTGCGCACTTGGATGCAGGCGGCACCAGAATCATGCATAGCACAATTTTGTTATAGAGACGTAAATGTACATATTAAAAGTTACAGTCTTCTACCCTTAAAGGCGATTTTGCTCTCATTGCTGACACCGACAACGGAACCATTTACGCGGGTAGAATGAGCCAGGATCTTGGTGACCTGTCGCCCCTCCCTCTCCGAGGATTGGTGCGCCCGGTGGCAGTTGACTATGACCCGGTGGAGCAAATGGTTTACTGGAGTGACGTGGGTAGTCAGCCGTCTCGTAAGATCTCCCGTGCACATCTGAATGGCACAAACCAAACGACCGTCTTGGATTCCCTTCGCTGTAAGCCTGAATACTTTACACAAATTTCAACAGTATCCCTTTCAAACTCTATATATTATTTTAACAATTTATAAGAAAGCCAACGGGTGAAAATTGTAATCTTTATCTCTTTTGACATAATTATTTTCGCGATTCGCCCCCGCTAAAAAAGCACTAATGGATTACAAAGTCAACACCTATGTTTATGTGCATCATATCAGATTTCATAGTCGTATTACCATTTCTTTAGTTTTTATTAAATTTAATTAATTTCATTCCAGTCAAAATTGTACTATGGCTTTTACGGTTTTATAGGCAGAGGTGAAAAGTTTTTGTCAGGGTTTCTTTTAAGGGAGGAGGTGATCCTGCTATAAAGATGACGGATTTTTCCCAGAGTGGCAGGTGGATTTTGAAGACTTGGCTGATACATAAATAGTTGAATTTATATTTAAAACCCAATGTTTTGCTAGAAAATAAAAAAACTAAAATTTTCAAACTTAACAAAAAGAATTAAAACCCCAAAATGTCGTGGATTAAGAAAAGAAAGTGTTAAAATGGAAAAGGTTTACGAGTGTGATGTTTGAACAATAACGTAGGTTTCGTGATGGTGCCATTATGTCGTAGGTATCAACTAATGTGGTTTCATCTTACAATCCTCTTCTAAGGTTCTTTATCGGTGATGCTCTTCATGCACGTATAATCTATACTTTGACATTGATATATAGTACCTGACGGACTGGCGTTGGATGTTCAGGCAAGGATGATTTACTGGACGGATGGTGTATTGGGGTATGTGGGACGAGCAAGCATGGACGGCACTGGGAATCGTGAGATCATTGTGGACAATCTCGATAAACCACGAACCATTGTAACTGATCACGGCCGTGGGTGAGTACTAGTAATCAGTTTTGAGGACGACTTCGGAAAAGGGTTTATTCTGTCAAGTAAAACAGTGTCCCAATTACTTCGGATCAAGAATCGCTTCGGCTTACACGTACCCCACTATTTTACCATTTCCAACCACTGTTACTGAATGAATGCTAAATTACGCGTCGCTTTTCATCGTTGGCTTCCAGACACATCTACTGGACGGACTGGGGGACAAGTCCCCGCATAGAGAGGGCAGATCTTGACGGTGGGAACAAGATAACTGTAGTTGGGACTGACCTGTACTGGCCAAACGGAGTCACTATTGACGGTAATTTACAGCTGACAATTTGCAACCCTCATTCTGTTCGTGTGCAGTCTGATACTGTATTTTTATTTTGCCTAAAGAATCGGCGTGCAAATTTAAAAAAAAAAATAAAAGTTATCTGGAAGTCAAGGGTGGACCCGAAACTAAATTTTCGGGAGGACCCAAGTTAATTTTAGAGAGCAAAAAATTTTGGATATTTTTATTAAACCTTTTATGGCCTCTCTGAGGGGTCAGGTTATATTTTGGGGCTCTCTACAGCTTTTGGAAGGGATGGGAAAGAAATCCTTTGTTTTGAAGTTTTGGCTCCTTATGGGCCCGGCCCCCGTTGCACCCCCTCCCCCGAATCCGCCCCTTGGAAGTGGTACATGAAGTGAGGCAAGGCGGTAACTAAGTACTCTAATATTGGTGCTTCAGTTTGGAAAACGTTTCAGATGGAGTTTTTTCCAGTGAACTGCCAAATGATTTAACGTTTTACTGCCTATACACGTTCATAAACTTTTCATTCCAACAGCTTCCCTCGAAGATTTTACATTTTACTGAAATTGTTTTCACAATATCTTCTCCATAATTTCACTTTTATCAGGGGACGTCTTGTATTGGTGCGATGCTTTCCTCGATAAAATCGAGCGAAGCGATCTTTCGGGTGTCAACCGATTAGTCTTACTCAACTTGACCGCCCACGGTAACTTTCATCCGTTCGATTTGGCTGTGTACGGAAGTGAAATTTACTGGACGGACTGGAAAGTGGAAACTTTGGTCCAAGTGAACGTGAACGGCAGAGGGGAGCGGAATTTCGGTCCCTCGATATTTCAAAAGGCGGAAGGGATTCACATCGAAGAGGGTTTGTAGGACATGGATAAGCACCTTCTTTCGAATTTCTGTGAAAGGACAGGGTTATTGGGGTGATTTTTCGTGTTTCGCTTCATGATTGTGTATAGCATGACCCTTCCCACCTCCAGATTATCAGGTCTCACCGTTGTGGATCGAAGGGCAAACGGGAGCCATCCCTTCCTAAATAAAGATACCAAATATTGTTTTGAAAAACCAATGAGGAAAAGGATGCCTCTTTGGACCATTTCACTTCTGTTCCTTCAAAAGGCGTGTAAAAATCCCCCAAATTTATAGCTTCATGATATAAAAGACCATAAAGAAATTTCAAAATTTTTGTCCTCCACACAAAAAAATAGCCATCAGAATGTTTGTTTATGGATTTGCCCTTGGGTTTAACCCTCTTCCAGTTATTTTGTCCCCAAATATGACCTCTTAATGAAGCGTCTAACATAGCCTTTTGTCATCTTGAAGAACCAAATTATTGTGATAGCTCCCCCTGTAACAACGGTGCCACTTGTGTGGATGTTATCAACGGGTTCATCTGCCAGTGCCCACTTAGTCACAGTGGAATTTTCTGCTTCGAAGGTAAGCTTTTTGACTTCAGTGGTGTAAATTTGCTCCGGAATTGGGGACGGGGTGCATGCCGGTGGGAGTTTGTGGGGGGGGTTGAAAGCTGAAGGAGGCTGACACCATATAGTGGCAGCGTTATACAGATGTATTCTGTAATATGTATTACACTCATGCAGGAATCTTACATCAAAACGGCATATTATAGCTTTTTATTGTTTTCCCTTGTTGGGTGATGTTGGATACATTTTAGTCGTTGGAAGTCCGAAAAATTCTTTACATACCGCTTTACGTTTTTGCTGACCGTGGAAAGGGATGGGGGATGATTCAATAGCCCCCCAAAAGTGAGATGGGGGGTATATATACCCCCATCCTCCCGGGATTTACACCCATGCTTGATTTATCTTATGAGCCAAGAATAGAGCATTTGACATAATTTTATTTACTGGCTGGTCATTGGGTGTACTGAGCATTATGCATAGTACATAGTCCAGTTTCAACGAACGTAACAGGCACGAGAAATCATATTGACACCGCGCGACTATTCTCTTTTAATTTATGTATGGCGAGCTATGTTTTTACAAATATTACCCTCAGTTGGTGTGAGGTATGACTTTAAAAATGTAAATTTACGCCATTAATTTTAAAGAGGGTCGCATTTTCATTTCATACTTAGTAGCAGTCTTTATTATTTGGAGTTTTGATGGCTTCACTTCACTTCACTTTAAATAAATCAATTGTCCGACTAATTATTTGAATAAATGCTCACGGCCAACTGTAGTTTTACCATGTGACGTAGACAGAGCAGAGCATACAACTGGGTTATTCTGAAAACAGCAGAATGGAATGATATTTTCGGGAAGCAAATATTGCAAAGTGTGGCGAGGTTTTGTTTGGATTAAAATGCAGTTTCTTCCTTATTTTGGCATATGAAGCAAACTATGGGACAGAGAGACCCCTCCGCCTTTGTGTTGATCATTGTTAAACTGGTATCTCAGGAATTCTTTTCAGAATTCTGAAAAGGGGATGTGTTAAGTGACAATAGGCTGGAGTGTGTATAGGGATTGGACGGAGGGGGTACCCCTCTGTCCCATTTCGTGCCTGGTATATATTATGGTCAGCATGAAAAATGCACTCTTGCACGGAAAGTGCAAAAGTTTCCATGTATTTAATAAATACATGTCTTTGCATTGTAGTCAAAATGTCGGGGCGGTAATAATGTCAAACACTATCGGACTTTTTTTCGTGACTCAGTTCCTTGTAGGCCCAATGAAGTGACCTAACTGAGATACTGAAAGTACCGTGTGTACCATTTCCTTGTTCCGTTTGAGTCACAGTGTACTCATGTTGCACAAGCAGTTCTATTAGGCCAATCAACGGTCATTGTGCCAAAGTTTCACCGATGGTTTCAGCTTCGTATTTCGGGCCAACTCGTTTTTTGTTTGCAAGTACTCTATTACTACAACAAACATATACACTGTAAAAAAAAAAACGCTCAGAGTTTAAGCACATTTCTAAACACATTTTTTGCACCCACTTTTTTGACATGTTTAACCGCGACATGTTTAGTGTTATGCGTTTAGGAATGTATTGAAAAGCTAAGCGGATTTCAAAAAGCTAAATATGTACCACAGAAAAGCGTTAATGGCATTGCGTACACTTTGCGTACGGCGGGGAGGAAGGTGAGGCAATACTGTGTTCATATGCAGAGCAATATAAATTGCCAAGAAAATAATACATTTTCTCCTGTTTTTTCTCCGGGACTGGACTGCGCTCTAGTCACCGCTCTAGTGTCCCTTTCATTTTTGCTCGAAGCAATATGTAAATGTATTCGACAAAATAAGGAACGGAAATTGAATGCAGTAATATTCAATGAGTTGAGTTCTTTTAGGTGAAATCACACGATCGTATTATTTTATTCCCTTTCTGCATTTTCATTGGAACTTTTCCAATACATACATTGTTAAGACCGTCCCACCAAAGAATATCATCTTCAAAACCACTTTAATCAACAGAATGAAACCACACAGAATTCTTCCAAGGCATCTATTTGCTCGCCGTTCATTAAAGGCCACCACAGAGAAAACGCTGCTTCGAATTAAATTAACGGTTCAGAATGAGGCTGGTAAACCTAAAGAAACATTGATCCAAATAAAACCTGACATGTTTACACATTATGCTGTTCAAAGCGCGAGTAAATTAAAGGGAAGTGTTAATTTTAAAGCACATAATCCTCACTCCCCGGGATTTACGCATGATACAATGATTCATTTCTGACTAATGTCAACTCCCGGTGATCCAACCAATCGTTTGAGGCTAGTGATGGGTTCCGGGAAATTGATAATATTCCTGGAGAATAATCAGTCGCGTATGACTGCCATGATGGATACGGGACCAGTGGCGTCAATTTGTCTCGAAAAGTGGGCGTGGATGGGTGAGGGAAAAATTGGGGGTGGGGCGACATGTAAAATTTGAAAAGTGGGGGGTGACACAATATGACTCTATATAGAGGTCGGTGTTCATGATATTAAGGTGTACTTGTAATATGTGTTCAAGATGGCATATTTATGGCTTTTAAAAATTGTTTTTCTTTTTTGAGCGATACTGAAGGCATTTTAGTCATTGAAAGTCTTAAAATCCTTTCAATCCACTTTATTCTTTTGCTCACCACAAAAAGTGTGTGTGTGTGTGGGAGGGGATGATTCAATAGGCCATTCCACGGCCCCTCAAAAGGGGGAGGGGTTATATATACCCCCATCCCCCCCTGGAGACAGCCAAGATCTTTGGTAATTATAATCCCGAATCTGTCCTTTCCTGGACTGTGACACTGTCCTAAATTTCCTAATTTCTACCAGGTTTATCTATCCTGCGACAAGGGGCTACCTTTTTATAGCTTATTCTACCTTTATGGCATTCTTTTTTCTCGATACCAGCTTCTGTCTGTCAACTTTCGCCTGATCCAACCAATCTTCTGCGGGTATCTGACCCGCAGGCGGCGTACCTCCCGGGAGAGTACGTCGAGTACGACTGCCCGGACGGATACCAACTGGAAGGGTCTGCCACGCAGATCTGTCGCTCAGATTTGACCTGGTCAGGGCAGATACCTAGATGCAAAGGTACCCTTGGCCATTGTTACCCATTCAATTAGAATTTGTACTTGCAGAGATATTTTGTTTTGAATTTAGAATTTAAGTCCCCTGAAACACTAATATTGTGAGTCAACTTGAGTCCTTTACTCATTACTTGAGGTTTAGGAATGGTTAATCAGTTATGTTTAATTTAGTCACGATATCTCACAATACCGGGTGGCAGAACAGTGAACAAACTGCCATAGATGACCGTGATAAATTTCCTTATTACAATATATAAAGAAGCAAAAAATTGCAAAGACACTATTCAGGTTATTGAGCGGTTAGTAATTCAATACAGCAAACATTTTTTGCAGAGAAATCTGCTGTTGGACAGGAAAGGGGGATTCTGACGCCCTATGATACCAGGGGGAAAGGTTCATGATACAGATGTCCATCTGTAATAATTATACTCCTATAGAAACTTAAATCAAAATGGCATATTTGTGGCTTTTGAAAGTTTTCTCCCTTTTGAGTGCTATTGGAAATATTTCGATTGTTGAGAAGTCAGACAATTCCTAACAATCCCCTTTAATGATTTCTCACCACGACAAAGTGGGGGATGATTCCATACAGCCCCCAGCCAGCCCCCCCCCAGAGGGGAAGCACATAATCCTCACTCCCCGGGATTTACGCATGATACAATGATTCATTTCTGACTAATGTCAACTCCCGGTGATCCAACCAATCTTTTGAGGCTAGTGATGGGTTCCGGGAAATTGATAATATTCCTGGAGAATAATCAGTCGCGTATGACTGCCATGATGGATACGGGACCAGTGGCGTCAATTTGTGTCGGAAAGTGGGCGTGGATGGGTGAGGGAAAAATTGGGGGTGGGGCGACATGTAAAATTTGAAAAGTGGGGGGTGACACAATATGACTCTATATAGAGGTCGGTGTTCATGATATTAAGGTGTACTTGTAATATGTGTTCAAGATGGCATATTTATGGCTTTTAAAAAATGCTTTTCCTTTTTGAGCGATACTGAAGGCATTTTAGTTATTGAAAGTCTTAAAATCCTTTCAATCCGCTTTATTCTTTTGCTCACCACAAAAAATGTGTGTGTGTGGGAGGGGATGATTCAATAGGCCATCCCCTTGCCCCTCAAAAGGGGGGGGGTATATATACCCCCTTGTAGGAGACAGCCAAGATCTTTGGTAATTATAATCCCGAATCTGTCCTTTCCTGGACTGTGACACTGTCCGAAATTTCCTAATTTCTACCAGGTTTATCTATCCTGCGACAAGGGGCTACCTTTTTATAGCTTATTCTACCTTTATGGCATTCTTTCTTCTTGATACCAGCTTCTGTCTGTCAACTTTCGCCTGATCCAACCAATCTTCTTAGGATGGTATCTGACCCGCAGGCGGCGTACCTTCCGGGAGAGTACGTCGAGTACGACTGCCCGGATGGATACCAACTGGAAGGGTCTGCCACGCAGATCTGTCGCTCAGATTTGACGTGGTCAGGGCAGATACCTAGATGCAAAGGTACCCTTGGTCATTGTTACCCATTCAATTAGAATTTGATACTTGCAGAGATATTTTGTTTTGAATTTAGAATTTAAGTCCCCTGAAACACTAATATTGTGAGTCAACTTGAGTCCTTTACTCATTACTTGAGGTTTAGGAATGGTTAATCAGTTATGTTCAATTTAGTGACAATCTCACAATATCGGGTGGCAGAACAGTAAACAAATTGCCATAGATGACCGTGATAAATTTCCTTATTACAATATATAAAGAAGCAAAAAATTGCAAAGACACTGTTCAGGTTATTGAGCGGTTAGTAATTCAATACAGCAAACATTTTTTCAGAAAAATCTGCTATCGGACAGCCAAGATCTTCTGTCTTCTGTCGCTCGTAGATTTATTAAGATGTCAGTGCAAAGCATGACGTTCTAAATAATACCCCAACGCTGAAAAAGATTTATTGAAATAAATCAAGCAGATTCTACTTGCGAAATGTCTCATTTATGACCACGGGTATGCAGAAAATGGCGACTTTCCCAAACTGACCGCGTGCGTGATGGAATAAGTAAAGACACAAACTAATTCATTTGCTTGGATTCAAACAATGATTTTAATTGATATTCCTAGACGGCAATCTCCAAAGAAATCTGAAGGAGGCGGAATTTCTGCCCCCTTTGTTCCCCACCCCTCTCCCTGACGCTGTGCGCAGGTCCCAAACTCCTGGCAGTTTTGTGGTTGCTGTCATTATCTTTTCGAAGGTTTCCTTGACAAGAAATTGTTTCTCCACATAATGATTCATTTTTGACTTTCAGCCTCCAGCTGTCAGCTTCCCCCTGATACAACCAATCTTCTCAGGGTAGTGTCTGTTTCGAGGGTAGTATACCTCCCTGGTGACTCCGTCGAGTACGACTGCCCAGACGGGTACCAACTCGACGGGTCTTCCACACGGTTCTGTCGCATAGATTTGACGTGGTCGGGGCAGATACCTCGATGCAGGGACCGAGACTACACAGATGGCGAGTATATACACCTCAATCGGTTCATTTAACAATTTTTGAAATATATATTTCGCTTTTAAAAAGACGGTTATGAAAATTTCACAACAATCGAGTAGTTTTTATTCGACGGGTTGACAGTTGAAGGCATGCATACTGGATGAGTTGTTCATTCATTTCTGACGATACCGTTTAAGCATAATAGCCACCTGAAGGCATTTTGTCTGGAATTACTTAAATTCGCGTTTTGCTTGGTTTTCAGTCCACTTACTGTGGTGTTAAGACTTTCTCTGCCTTTCATCCAATTGCCTCTCCTCCCGGTCATGAACTATTCACCTTCTGTTTCTAACAGTTAATCAGTGCGTGTTTACTCTGAACCCATCGGACGCGCTAACGGTCGTTTCTGAACAGCAAGCGGTGTACGTTCCCGGTGCGGTGGTCCAGTATGCCTGTCCGGACGGATATCAACTGAACGGGTCCTCCTCCCAAATTTGTCTTTCGAATCTCACCTGGTCCGGTCAGCCGGCTAGTTGCACACCCATGAAGACGCCCACTACCAACAATAAAAGTATATGCTTGTTTTTCTAATCACTTCTGAATACGTCGAGGCCGTTGTTCTTAAGGTTTAAACTGGATCATGCTTGAGTCGGTGAAGGATGAAGTTTAAAAAAAAAAGTCCAAGCAAAAAACAAAGTGCTCAAGGGATAAAAATTCAAAACACATCTTCCCGAGGTGGAATTTGCACCACACAAAAAATGGAAGACTTAATCTGTGATCCATTTAAGTCCGACGGATCCAGGGTCCAAAATGAGATCTGTACTCTTTTTTGGGGGGGGACATGAAGACTTTGTTTTAAAAATCCCAAAACCTCATTTATGATACTCCCCAGAAGATGGAAGTTTGAAGGTCTGACCAAATATTCCACAGTGCTGGATTTGGAAGGGAAGAAAGTTTCACTATCATAGACAACTGTCATTATTTTGCAAGACAAACGAAACAGTGGTTCGGGGCAGGCAAAAACTTCCATAATTACACCGAAAATAGTGTATACGTTGGACTTCACTCTCTTTAAAAGTCTTGAGACAACAATTATTTTTATTCTCTGTAGACAATAGTTCAAAAAATGCCACGCCTGTGGCAATCGTCGCCGGGGGTGTTGGGGGCGCTGGGCTGATTCTCGTCATAATTTGCGTCGTGGCGATCACACTCCGGAGGTAAGTTTAACCATAACGCTCCATCCACATGTTACAGGCCACCCATGCAAAACGAATGGACCAAAACGTATGATCAACCTTGAGAACGGTGTTACAGCTAGGAAGAGATCTGTTGGCCGGTTATGGTTTCAGGATATTGAATTTGACGTGAACCAAAGGTGTAACTACGAGTAGTGCTTTTAACGACGACTGCTGAATTTGCTTGGATAACGGTTTTGTGCCCTGAAATGCTTTCATTTGTGGGCATTTTGTTTCGGCTGATCTTTAACATTTCTAACCGCCCCTCCCCAGTACTGACAGATGATGTCAAGAAATGGACACGTAGTGCTTCACTTTATAACATAATATTGCCACAAGATTTTTGACGCTAATTTCAGGCTTAGTACCCTCCGCTTTTTTACAAAGGTACTTGTCAATAATCTAAGGTGTGAAAAACCCAAATTTTTACCAAAGACTAGATTTTTGTACTTCACAAAATGGAACACATATCATTTTCCCCGTAAAAGATCACTGCACATTGACAACTTGGGCTCTTCAAAACATTTTTATGGCGAAAAAAGTTTACTTTTCGCTCGGACTGAAACCATTTAAGTGCATTTTAATGTAGTCGTAGTTTGTAAACAACATCAGTGTGTTTTCCATTTTTTATCTCGCTTCTAATTTTCATTCTGCCATTTCCAAGAGTGTTTTGGTGTCTCTTCGAGTTTTATGATAATAATGTATTTACATATTCATGAGCAAATGTGTCATGTCAATTAATAAAAAGTGTGTGACAAAAGATATTCCCCACTTAATTAAAATATAACGCGGCATGCTCTGTTGTCCCCAAGTGTAGTCGCAATGAAATTTTCTTAGACACAATTTTTGTGCAAATGTGTACTCTTCTTTAAAGTTTGAAAACTTTTTTACATGCCTATTTGGTCAAATGCATTGAAAAGGGCAATTTCAAATGCTTTCAAATTATCCTTACTTTCCTTGATAACTGAGGGCGCTGTTGCTGTGATGTCATCCGTGAATCCAGAATTTAGTTAGTGAAAATATTTCTGGGAAAGAAGATGGTGCTTGCTTGCTTGCTTGCATACTTGCATGCTTGCTTGCTTGCTTGCTTGCATGCTTGCTTGGTTGCTTGGTTGGTTGGTTGCTTGCTTGGTTGCTTGCTTGCTTGGTTGCTTGCTTGGTTGCTTGCTTGGTTGCTTGCTTGGTTGCTTGGTTGCTTGCTTGCATGCTTGCATGCTTGCATGCTTGCATGCTTGCATGCTTGCATGCTTGCATGCTTGCATGCTTGCATGCTTGCTTGTATGCTGTGCACATAGTCAACAATGAATCAGCGAAGAAGAGACAATTTACTCCACCAAAATCTACAACATGCAGAACTTTTTTTGTGCAAAAAAAAAATGAAGCACTTAGGCTTTCTTCTTGGGATGACATCACAGGTGTGCTCATGAATATGGAAGTATTTATCATCGTAAAAGAAAAGGCAGTAAAATACCCTTTGAAATAGTGAAACAAAATTTTAAACGAAGTAACTGAGACACAAAGATGCATTTTGAAGATTTGTATGAAAACAAATCGATTCCAGCTACTTTTCAAATTCTAAAGTGTTTAGTGCTAGTTCTACGTACGATCCAGTCCAAAAATCGAAAACTCAGAGCTAGAGTGGTGCCAACCGCTCATTTCTCCTGTGACTTCTTTTCCACCAAGGAGACAGAGACGGCGTTTGGGAGTACAGGTGCAATGTTCAAACACGGCGGATTACACATGCGAAGACATCTTCCCAGATGAGTATAGAACATACACAAGTGCAACCTATGAAAAGCGAATTGAACCGTTGTACCAGGAATCCCTGTTCTGAAGTATGCATAGTGAGTTACCGTGAGCAACTAGAATGAAAGAGCGCCTTCAAGAAGCAATGAATGTACTTACCGGTGATCCTTCGTGAAGTTCATGATCAGCGCGTTCGATTACTTCACTGGCGCTGACCTTTGCAGTTGGTGTCTTCAGTTTGAAACCACGGACGTCATGTTAAAAAAGCATTAAATTTTTTAATGGGCCTATATGACGTCCGTGGTTTAGCAGGCATGAACACGTGTACAATAGAGCCTGAAAATAAAGGTCATGCAGCGAGCTGTCCTATCAAGTTCGATCATTTTTGGAAGAAGGATTCCTAACTAAAACCACCCCATGACACTCATGTAGGAGTTTTACCTTTGTTTTCCTCAAGCAATATTCAGGAAAAGTCACTTGGAGATGGGTAGAAAACGAATGTTATTAACGACCTTTCATTATCGGCGGTATCGTGTCTATGTCTCCTGTATAGTTCATGCACATTTGTTTTCAATCCCTGTGCTTATGTGGAAACGAGATTGTACAACGTTGCAAAGATTTACCTACCTACAGTCAATGGGTTCCTGATCATGGACGTAATTAAAACCCTGGACTTGCACGCCTTTGTATGAACTTGAAGAAGAAGCCAACCAGCGGCCATTTTACCGAGTCGAATACAAAGGCGTGGATTGGCTCCCCTTTATTGACGTCAGGAAGAACAAAGGCGGGCATTGCCAGGAAAGCTCTGTGGGTGCACCACCTGAAATATATTCCCATAGACAGCATTGATACATCCCCATACTTCACAAATATTTTAAAAATACTCACAACTCTCACAGGTGTTCAGGCTACACAGAAAAATGATGTTCCACATGTCCTCTTTCATTTTCCTTTCAATTTTCGGGGGGCTGACCAATGAATGTTTGAGAAATTTTCACCAGAAGCAGACCACCCTTCAAATGCAGAAAATGTCCCTTTACCGAAAAGTAGCCATTTTGAAAAACCATCCCTCTGGAAAATGGCTCAAATAGTGCCAGTTTCGGACCCGATTGCATCCAAATTGCTCAGAATTGGAAGCCCTGAATCCGGCCCGAAGGTTCAGTCTCATATTTCTTCTATTCCCCAGTTCCATGGCTCTCAGGACCCTCAAATATAGAATATTTTGATTGTATTATTAATGAGCTCGGCGGACATATTTCTGGCCTAAATACGAGGGTGCACCCTTGTATTCGGCTCGGTAAAATGGCCGCGAGTGAATTCAATGAGCCCTATAAGCTGATTAAGGGCATTGCGAGTACAGATTTTATTATACACGTCCATGTTCCAGATTCCGTTGAGTTGACATCACGCACGCGCACTGAGCTCTTGTTAGCAAAATTTAGATAAAATATTAGAATCTGTCGTAAAAGTAGATTATTACTTTAGTGTATTATCTTATAAATCAAAAAGGTCTGTAAAATATTTTGATCTTTTTTTTTTGTTTTGGCTTTTACCGACGGATTACCGTCGGTGGCCCTGGTGTACCGTGGTGGCGCTGTGCAAGGGACTGGTTGCGGTTTTTCTCGCGCTCGTGGCGAGTGATTTTTAATCTATTTTTTTCTGTTTAGTTTTAGCCATCCTTACTCCTTTTTAGCGTCGGATGTATTTGAATTAATTCAAGTACTTGTTGGATCGCGTATTCTACTTTTTAACCCGTTTTTTGCTGAATTTGAAAAAGACTTTGTTTTTAACTTTGAGTGTGTACATCTTGGATTTTTACTCAGTGGTCTACGTGTAAATTTCCAGTAGGCCTACTGCGTCATCCGTGTTCTCTACTGTTTTTATTGTGTGAGTGGTATTCAAAATGTCATCGATAAGGACATATTGGACTATGCTACTTCTGACTGTGATTTCTGTTCTCGTCAGAATGTCTGACTCGGGACCCAGAAGTGTTACAACCTACCAATCCGTTTGTGAGAGGGCATTGGACAGCACCACTGAACCACAACGCTGCTTCTAAACACATCAATCAAATCGGCAAACAAAAATCTTCACTCATTGTACCCCTGGACGATTCCAGGGAATTGTCTACCAGACCACGTCAGATGTTCTGCGACTCTTGGCGCTTTCAAGACCGAGATTGACAGAATTGATCTTGCTGTTCTGTCCCAACAAGTTCATTTTACAAATTAATTCTTTTAGTTGCAACCAGATCCCTTGCGGCGTCATCTGTATGGGACAGCCAGAATTTTGGCGATTGTACAGTGGCCAGCAGAAGCAGAAAATTTCAAACCGTTTTTGTTTGTCTGAGAACGAGACTGCAGAATTGCGCTGTTCTTCATGTATTATTTTAGATTTCTGGAAATGATGGGTCAATTTTTGGCAGGAAATTTCTCTATTTTGTCAGGTAATTGTTCAATTTCTGTAAATTCATATACTAGCAAATATTTTTCAAAGCCCTTTTTTTCTGAGCTTGATTTTTAAAGAAGTAACTGAACGGAAAAATATAAATTCTAAAATTTTGGCACGTTATTTTGCCTATCCAAGGGTTCTGGAAGCACACCATCGGGGTCAACTTTCAGACTCTATATGTGGCAATTAACGAACAATTTCCGCTTACTTGAGGTGTCCCACCTGGGTCAAGAGGTTATGCAGAGATTAAAATTGGAACACGAACACCTTTCTGGCTTTGATCTTACAGACCTTACTTGAGCAATTTGCCTGCACATTCAATTTTCTTTTTCAGAATTACTACTTGGCATCCACTTCCACTTCGGCGCCACGCATCACACCGTGGTTTGAGTGAGCTGCCACATTTCGTGTTGTGTTGAGTTAGCGTAATTTGTTTTTTTTTCCTAGGGAGGTTAGGAATAATTATAATACAACTGGCGTATCTTAACCGTTGTGCATGCGTCCGTCGTCTAGTCGCAGACGTGTGTTTTCGACGCTCGTGTGAAGAGGCTTTAGGAAGGTTGGGGGGCAGTTATCATAAACGGGGTACACAAACTTTGGGCCCACCACAGATGTCGGAAAACATCATTTTCATGCCGTTCAAAATGCATCTCAAGTTGGGGTACCACATTTTCGTTGATCATTTGTATCACATTATTGCTGAACTTAAAAGCGACAGAAGGCAATCCTCCCTAATCAAAGATACCTGAGCCGGCTTTTGTTGTCACTTTCAATCAGGACAAGCATGAGAGAGGACAACCTCATTCACTGGTTTATCTAAAGTGTTACCACTGAGTCTTGATGCCCCATTTTGCCAACTTAAAGTATCCCAAATCTGAACATAGGCTTAGGCCCTATCTGTAGACGAAAAGATTACAACACCTGTTCTATCTTGAACAATAAAAGCTTGATCGATTTCCTGCTGTAACAAGCCTGAATTTTTGTGCACAAAACACACTGTGGGGCGCGGACTGACAAACGCTCTTTAAATTAATTTAAAAATCTGGCTCAAGTCACATGCTTAAGCTACAAACAGGGCTTAACAGTGCACCCACTATGTTTGGGACTATGTCTCAATGGGGAATTTTGGGAGGTTCAAAAACGTTGACTGAAAAACTTCAGATTGATTTCACACAAACGAAAACAGTCCGATAAATGTATGTTCCCACTCCCCAGGGTCTACGTAATACGCCTACTATTTCGTTTCAACTGCTTTCATCGGAAGAGACTAAATAAGTGTAGTCCCCAAGTTGTCAAATTAAATTACCTGTTACAAGTACTAAACTGACACAGGAGACAGTCCCTCAGTTTGAACCGGACTAGATTGTACATCGTTGTGGTCATGAGTCAGTGGGGGTACCGGGGGGGGGCACGCGCCCCAGCAGATGCCCGTGCCCCCCCTCCATTTGAAATATGTGAATAATCTCTGTTGAAATACAGCTGCAGCTTAATTTCCAATGGTGTCCCCTTGAAAAAATGTGTACACCCTCTGGTGCCCCCTGAACATTTAACCCTAGTTACACCACGGCGATGAGTTCTGGAATCGAAATATGTAACGTTTAATGTGTTATATAGAAGTACGTTGCATTTAGGTTGGTCTCAGCCGATGCGACAGATAATCTAAACATTGACAAACTACCTGACTTGTTTTATCTTGATTTTTTTTATTTGAAAGTAAGTAAACTAATACGTAACAGTCCGAGAGCATGAGAATGTTGAAACCTACACGGCACACTACTCTCGACACTATTTATACCCAGGGACATTTTAGTCCATGATTCCAATTTCAATTAGTTGTAGATCACAAATAAGAACGATTGACATCAACGTTGACGTATGCTGACATAGTTTTCCATGCATTTAACATGAACATTTTAATGTACTTTGAAACCATTTGTTAATGACCATAATCTCATGATCTGAGTGTTATATCTTGTAACATTCTTATTACAGCAGCGGGGGACAGGTCTATCATTTCACTCAATGAAATAAAAGCTTATATTGCATTTAAAATTAAGTACATTTCTGGAATTGACTGCCATTGCGGCTTTGTATGATTTCTTTGTCCACGTTTCATTTGCCTTTGTTAATTTAATCTTGAGGGGTAATGGTGGCTTTATAAGACGCTCCCTTGAAGCTACTATGACCGTTTAAAATAAAGCATGATTTAAAATATGATGAAATGACTTACAATCCTTCGTAAGGTTATTTGTTTGGCGTAGTTAAATACGCTTGAGGCCATGTCGCTTGTATTTTGTGGAGGGTTTTGCTATGTGTCACCTGTCATCAAACAAACCAGATTTCAACAACATGAGCATTTTTGTCAATTTACATGGTTCGTAGTGGTTTGCAGGTGCGGACCGTACAAAGCAATTTTCAAATGAGATTGTTTTCTTTTCATTTTCTTTGTTTAGGCAAATTTATATGTGGGCGAAATGAAACCTACTAAAATTGGATACCCGGTATCTCAAAGCAGTGTTGTTAATTAAATTAATGCTGTAACACCAGATTAAAATATCAAGATTTGGACTACAATCTGATGAATCTCAAAAGGCGTGACTTCACCATTAGAATTCCGTTATATTCACTCCATTTGTCATGTTACATCACCCATGGAGCTTTATTATGCCTGGGCCAATCTCATCGACCCTTCCGCTGCAAGGATGATCTGCCCCGGCCCCAATTGTGGTTGAGCACAATTATTTTTTTATTGATGCATTAACCGACCTGCACAAACCCCTTTGTTAACCCTTGGCAGACCCAATCCTTCGATTACCAATAACAGGCTTACAAGCCGCAACACAAGGATTGCATCTGCCAACAAAAGCAGCCCTTGGTGATCCGCTTACGGCGAATGTTAACTGTGCTATACTTAATCCTTTTAGATTCTGGAGTAGTCCTTTTGTAATTCGCTGGGGCTGGTTAATTCAACACCTCACACAGGGTAATAACCCTGTTCAAGAAATTTGTTTGTCCCTTTTAACTGATCTTTTTCTGTCTACGCGGTGAAGGGAAACCACCAGGATTTGTAACCCAAACCTTATTCCAGTTAACTGGGAATGTTTAACCCCTTTGTTCAACATTCTGTATGATTTTTTGTATGAAACTTTTCTTCAATTTGATATTTGCAACTAATTGGTACTAACATGAATGTGATATATACCAAGTGGCGTGTGTGCGTGGGGGGGATGCCCCTAGCAGAGGTCTGTTTCCCAGGCGCCCCAACCCCCTAATTCAAATGTTGACACAAGACCTAGTTGATCGACTTTCGATGCACCTCCTGAAAAAAATTAGGACATTCACCTAGAGGACGTTGCAAATAGCTGTTTGCCCAAATTGTCTTACTTACTCCTTCAGCTGACGGAATCGCTGCTAAGAATGAGAAGCGAGGTTGCACTTACCAAGATTTTTAACCGTAGGTTGAGGTAAGCTGTCCGCTCCGAGCGTGAACAACAAAGGGCCTGCTTTAGTGATAAAGATCATAATAAAATTATTAGACTGAACTAGAGGTGACGCGGGTGACGCAAAATTGCACCATTACGCACAAACAACTCGGAACCTCAGAAGCCTACGCGATTAGGTGATCTCGTAAGTGTGTGCGCGTATGGAACATCATGTCTTACTGTTCTTGCGCAACCTTAGCGCAGCGTACAAGAATAGGCCTGACACCTCTAGCTTTACCAAAGATTGTATAGCGCGGCGCTATACAATCTTTGGTTTTCTATGATCTCTATGGTACAACCTCACCGCATAGGCGCGCAAGTCTATACGCGTTTGACATGGAGCACGGTGTGCGCAGCGAAATTATTCAGGAATGATTGGTCTTCGCACGCACGCCGAACACGTGCAAGAGCCCGGTTGGATAACTTTGTACCAGGCTGTCCTCCTTTCGCCGATAAAGGTGTACTTCAACTCATGGTGTATTAAGTATGATGGCGTATTTTTGGGGGGGATTCTATAAACGGTAGGCCTACATATACAAGCTTTCTTGTCCCTGGGGTTGGCGGATTATTTCATGGGTGGAAAATGGACCGTCATTCCGTGGGGCAAAAATCCACCTCCCCCCGCCCAAGGCCTAGACTACTGAACTTGCGAGACCTCACTCAAGATCCCAAAGCTTGTCAAAGCAAACACGAGGACCCCTTCATTAAGTAGATTGAAGGATAGCTAGGTCAGGTGACTGACACGATGACCACCACCGAAAGGACAATAGTTGTCTCAATATAAAGAGTTGTTTCTATTCGATAGCTTGACCTTTTTCAGGTGGTGTTGATCACTTTTTGTGAGGACACAAGTCAATGCCCTCGCTTCATGAATCGACTGTGATAAATCGACGACACTCATTGATCTACACGACAGATTTTTGTTGAGTCGGCAGAGTCTGCCTGTTGTCATTTTTTGAGTGGACCTCGGAGACGTGCGTTTCTTCACCCATGTGGATGGGAACATATGCGTCTCTATATTAGTCTTAAAAATCCATTGGGGTGGTTTATAACACAGAGCAGAGCGTCAATTTACATTCGTGATAAATTTACAGGAATACTAATAGGGCCTACCTAAATCCGTGACTGCATTTCAAGTCAATCCTTAAATACACTATAGCGCCCTCTATACGAGTCAATATACCTCGCAATGCTTGTCCGTATTAGCACAAAACGACCTACATGTACAAGTAGGCCTACATAGTATATTTTGTATATAGTACATGTGCAGTATATTCATACAGTATATTATAGTATATTTTGTACGCTCGTTCTCACCCAAACTGCATTATATTAGCTTCTCAACTAGCCAAATAAAACTAGCACAAGAAGATAGGAATAAAGACATGAAAGCAAAATTATTAATAAGTTCCCAAGTGTCGATGTAGGCCTAAATATAAAATCTTAATGCCTAAGGGGCAAAACGGTTCATTTCAAACAGCCAGTTATTATTTACATCCATCACTCTTTCGTTGAAGCAATTCTCACTCTTTTTTCAAGAGGTTGTGGTTTACGGAGACTCGATTAAAACATTTAGACCTATAAGGAATCACTCCGAAGTTATGAAGAAGTTGTGAAGAAGAAACACGTAGTCTCAAGTTTATTCCGTCTATATTTCTTTTAAAATATGTCACTTGCATTGACCCTTCAAAGGGTTGAGATTTTAAGAATTTTTTGATAAGGGTAAGACTGCTTGATGGATTCCACACAACGGCAATTAGCAAATACATGTAATTATCTCCCTAGTTTACCGCTACATGCAACGATTAGTTCACTGAACTGCGTACTTACAGTGACTAATTACTACTAATTACCTAAGCCAAATGTTTTGATCCAATTGCAATTATCATGATTATCAGTTAATTATTTGTCAACTCAGGCCAAACTAATAGGCCAGTTGCATCATCTGTCGATACACGTACGTGTGCCCATCTTATAATCACCTGATAGACAAACGCACCATAACCATCGTGATGGGCCAATCAGAACGAGCAGCGCTTAAAATGATCTTATGTAGCTGAGCCACGTGCTCCCATGGCGTACCATTCACATTGTGCATACGTAACCGACGTACTGAACACGCTGTGCGTATTGTAACTTGCACCTTGTCACTACATTATGCGCTGCACTCGGGACCATGAGAGGGCGAAGTTAGCGCAAGTTGCTCGCTTCCAACTGATCCTTTTTCAATTGAAACTTCGAGGAAGACAATACCTGAAGTGAAGGATGCGTGAACGTAAGTTAGCTCTTGTCTTCTGTGAAATGTGCTTATATTTAATCGGGTTAATGGGATATGCTGGGATGCAGTCCGCGAACATCCTTGATACCCGGACGATCGAACCGTGTTGGTTCGTTGTGCATCAGATCGCGCGTGCTCTGCACACACAACGTGAGCAGCGGCGCGTTCTCACGCCAAAAAGGGGGGGGATTTTTGTTCATTAATACTATTTTTTCTCAATTTTTAGAGAAGGGGGTGTTTTTTGTGGGTGGCGTGCGGCATTCTTGGCAACCCTACTGGAATGGACCTATGTAGTGCCGTCACTGTTGTGAACGAGTCTGAGACAAGTGTTGCTATAATTAATGAGCACAGACTGCCATAAACAGTGATTTTGCTCGCAGTAAAATTATGTTTATTTTTTGTCGGCCTATACAATCCTGAAAGTTCACTTTTGCTACTGAACCTGTGGCCATCTGTGAGCAGCAGAATGTATTTGTGGTAGGCTGTGCAGTCATTCACAATTTGTATTCTGTGCCACCAGTAAGTTACCTACAAATGTTACTGCACTGAGGGTACCGTGGAGCTGCACTGAGGGTACAGTGGAATGTCGCTAGTATAACGAGCATGACACTATAGTGATTTCAGTCGCAGACACAGGCACCCGTTCCGAATTCCAGCCTTTATTCAGACGTATGTCGGCCCGCCCTGCAAAATGTTTCACTATATGCAGATTTGGGGCCCACATCTACATGCAAAATAGGTTTAAGAAAATGAGAAAGGAAAAAAACCTGTCTGGTTTTTATTATGTTTATCTCAAGTTTTCCTTGCATCTTTGCTTAAAACTGCATGTGACATGTAGGTATGGTTACACTGGTTCCTGTTGGTAAAATGGCACTTTAACAAATGGGCAGTGCTGGGTGCAGTAACACTAAGTAGACGCACAGGTATGTCCAAAGTTGGCAATGAAATGTCGGGTAAGCATATTTGAAAACGATCGAAACGTAAGATATTTATCAAACATTTCTTTGAGTCAAGTAACAAATGCTAGTGTCTGTCTGCACATTTACATGTATTTCCTGTTTTGGTGGTTTTAAAACTCAAATCCGCCAGCTTTGTAGCCATTATCATGCAAGAGTTTGCCCCGTCGAGAGGCGCCAGTATTGCATAGTATGCATAAAGTGCTGGGCAGCCAGTCTATGTGGCTGTCTATAGCTGTGGACGTGACACATGCACATTGCATGTGATGCCCCCTACCTAGGCCTAATGTTACCGACTAATAATGCAGACCATGCCACGTGTTGGCCGTTGATCTGTCGTGAGTGCAATTTTCGCCAGTGTTGAGTCATTTATCATCGGGTCTAAATGTGTTTCTTACATGTATATTTAAAACTAATTTGTAATGTTTTGTTGAAGTGCACAAAAAGGGGAATGATCGGTACTTCCGAATGTTTGGTATTGCATCGTTCATTATGTAGTGACTTTCCACTGTAGTGGATTACAGAATTTGGCCTACCAAGGTACTGTAGGCTACATGTGGAACCTATGAACCTGTCAATTTCCCCCCCCCAGGGGTTTTGTCATGTGGAAACATTTTTACCATTGACACATTGCATCAAGGAAAGGCTGCCCCAGGGGTGGCATACATTTGTCATTTCAGAAATGATATTCCCTACATCTTGGGTGTACAGGGGAAAGGGATTGAATAATGACAGGTGCATAAGTTCAGGAGGGGATAGTGTTAGTACCTACACAGGGTGAAGTGGGTGTGCTTTTGATGCGGAACATTGTCAATCATGGTTTGACCCACTGTGTTTGCGTGTTGCACTTGACAAAGAACATCAAGATGATGAAGTAAAGCTATACCGATAGAGGACAGGACTATTCTTGTACGTTTCGCATAGGGGGCCCCAGAACAGGGCAACATATTGTTCGATTACGCGCATGCATTTACACACTGATGTGGTCCAGTCTGCAGTCTTCTACTCGCTTGAAGCTTTGCGGATACCCGTCACATCCCACCGCGTTTGTGCATGTTCCATACGTATGGGTAGGCATCTGAGAGGTTCCAAGCTGTCCGTACATGTACATTATGGGACAGTGTTACATGCCCCTTGTCATCTCTAGTTCTTACGATCTCTAGAACTAAGAAGATGCCAATTTTCCCCTCATGTACCCAGCTGATGAACCTTCGGGTAAATTAGCTTGAAAATTATATTTAGAGCAACCCGACTGACCTTTTCATATCTGTAGCTGAATTGCTGATCTGAAATTTTAATTATTACCCTAAAACAAAGTGGATATGTGACCAACACCCATGAGAGAAACAAATGTGGAATGAATGACAACATATAGTTATTGTCTTTAACTCTTATCAGCCTGGATAATTTTGCTGGTCGTTGTTAGCATGATCATCCTTTTGGAGTTGGCCCGGGGACTTGGACTATACACGCAGGGTTCATGTTGCGGTCAAGCAGAAACTTCTAGAATGACTCATAGAGTGAACGTTTGTCAGTCAATCAAACACTTCAAGCTAGTGCTCTGGTGATAAAGTAATAATGCATACATTTGATTTGTTTCTGAACAGTGATGGGAATAACGTGGTTCATTATGAGGGTTGGAGTGAGCAACCACGCCGGTGATGGACATGCAATACTGTGAAGCAGTTGCCTGAAGCCGACTCTGGAAAATATCCATAATCATGTCAGTTACACTGGAGATCTCCAAGCCCTTGATGGCTTGCATGTGGACTGTTGCATTGATGATCATCGTCTTTAGTCTGCTGCTAATCTTCACGGGCACTCCGAGGAAAAAGGAAAACAGTGTCAATGAATTCTTCATGTATTACTTTCTGCTGTGCAACATTTTGACCCCAGTGTTTATGTTAGTGGCGGCCATTGATACCACTGTCGAAGACGGGGAGGACGTGGAAGAGAAATACCGCATGTTATGTTCCTTCTGCGGCTACATTGGGGTTTTAGGTTGTCTGCTGTCTCTATCAACAATGCTCACCATGGCAACCAATCTCTTTCTTTGGCTTTTGTTCCCGAGGTGCTTTAAGCAAGGCAAGAACTACTTGCCCAAGATACGGGGTATCACCGCCATCGAAGCGCTCATCATTTTGGTAGTCATCACGTTTCCGTTTCTCCCCTTTGATGCCTTTGAGGCTGGGCAGGTGAGCTCCCGCTACACCCTATGTCTTCCTTTGCATTCGCCCTGGGCCCCCATGTGGGAAGTAACCTTGGTGCTTTACATCGTCGAATCCCTCGGTGTCTTTACGCTGTTCCTGCTGTTCGTGGTGATGCTGTGCCATCTCACCCGTCAGCGGAATGTGCCAGTGTCCGCCATCCCAATGGAAGTGCGGGTCCAGCGCAAGAACTCACTCCTGGTCAAGCGGCTCTGCTGCACCATTCTCGGCACGGTGATCTTCTGGATCCCTGGACTGCTTACTGTGCTGTGCATGTTTGCAGGGGTCGAGGTGTCGGGCTCGGTGTTACAGTGGATGTTTGGCGTGGTTCAGCCCTTTGGAAATGTTGCCGGATCCTTTCTCTATTTTTGGAGAGTTAGATGCAAGAACTGTACCTTTTCATCTTGCTTGAAAGGAACAAAAAATAGAGGTGGGTGTGAGTTTTATCTCTTGATGAGTGACGGTAATTAAAAATATGTTTAGACTAAAAACGACATTATTTGAATTGAAACAAGATGACATTTTTTGACATAACTGTTTTCTGTAAAGCATGTCAGAACTTTGCATTGATTTAAAAAAATGACATCTCAGTGTGGATGTGGCTTGGAAGAATTGAAATTCTGGGTTTTTTTTAATGAAATAATGGTTAAGTGAATTAACTTAGGCTGTTCTGTGCTTATTCCATAATTGTCATCCAGGACAAACTGACGGTAGGCAATACTCCACACCATTTTATCATTGCCAACATTTTGCTTTGATCGTTGTTTACCATTTAGTGCTAACCCAATTACAAAGTGCATCCTTGAATGTTCAGAGCTTGAAAGCATGCGAAGTTTGTACACCTGCATGTGTCATCTGTTTTCTGCCTTTGAGAGTAGTGGAACAAGCCACCAAAGTATCTCTTCCAATCAACATGCCCAGACTTTACCTGGGCACATTCACATCTGGTTAGACAAATAAGGTAGCGAAAATGTACTCATACATGTGCCTCTAATTAAAGAATGCTTGTGAGTGATTTTGGTGCCACCTCCATCAATGTATGTCTTTCTTATTGCCAGATGAATCTATATACATGTATGTCCCACGCCATCAGGAGAGTAGTGGACCTAGCATATATAATCAGCAACCCTTGAGATACATGTACATGTACCTCTAATGAATCATTGATAAGCAGTGAGAAAAGGCATAAGGCCAATGTGTGTCTCTCTCTTTGCCATATATTTTCAGTATGCTGAAATGCACATGCAGTGCTCTAGATTGAATAGTACGAAATTATCAGCATCAATTTTCAAGTTACTGCAGCGCAGTGCATCTACATGTACACATGTAGTGTAGTGCAATAAGTGCATCTGTTAAACTTAATACGTACATACATGTGCAGACTGGAATGTTAACAGTTTGCCAGCCATGCCGACAGATTTGTCCATTGGCAGTCATATTAAACTTCCAAGATTTGATTTGGCCCACTCGTTTGATGTGTAAAACATCCTGAGACATCATTTCAGAACTGCAGCATTTCACAATTTTACATACTTGATATGCCTTCCTGAAATTTACGATAAGAAAAAAGTGTCTCACAGATGTAGAGTCACAGACAGAGTCATTTTCATCACCTTTATCCAACGGGAACAGGTCTCTTGTTTGCATGCACTGCTATAAAGGCTGTGTGCTGGAGCTATGAGCTTTCTAAGGCAGTCTGAATGAGCACTCTCTGGTGATCAACTGATTTGCTCTCCAAAGAATGTGTGTTCTGTCATTTAGAGAGTACTAAAATGTTTGAAATGGAATTCATTCACGCCTAGTTATGGGTCTCCTGAGTTCTGAAGTAGACTTTGTGTTTTTGAGTGTGATTAGTGATGTTAATTTCCATTTTAAAATATGCACTTGTTGTATGCACATCCAACCACGGAAGTTTAGTGCACATTAAGAGAAGGCAGATTGCACGGGTCTTATACCCAAGTACATGTATTGTATGCCATGGGATTTGAAGCACCGCGAGCATGCCTGAAATTTGCAAAGACATGAAAGTGAATTCTGTATGCAGCTTACGAGAAATGTAGCCAGAAGATATACTTGTGTTATTCATATTGTGTCACATGACTTGCATGCACATAGTATGCAGCATTTTTTCCCATCCTATTCACGTACAGTATCCAAAATGTTTTTAACCAGAATAATTTCAGTCCTGAAAGGTTTTTAAAGATTCTGCATGAATTTGTACCAAGCAAGTAAAAACATTCACTTTATAACGTGTTTAATCTCAAAAGGCTTTATACAGCAGTTTCTTATGACAGTGAGTCTTCAGTGTAATAATTGATGTCCTTCCTGTATTGTTTTCCAAATTTTTGCCTTTGTGGTGTATTTGTACTCATTAAATACATGTCAGACTACATATTACAGCATACATGTGGGTGTCGTATTCATGCCAAGTCTATGGCCATGTCCGAAACGGGCTTCCAGAGCTATTGCTAGAGCTGTTGTCTACGCGTCTCCATGCATTTCCAATGGAGCGAAGACATAGACCTAGGTCTAGACAAGAGATTCGGATGCAGCCTTAGTCTACCAAGCTATTTTATAGAAGGGGATTCATTGGTACAGTCTGTGTTCCCTCTTACAGTTGTAAATGGCAGAGATGCAGTGCGGCTGCAAATTGGCCAGTTGACAGGAGCCATTACCATGCCGCAGAAGATGGATGGGGATGGGGACGGGAAACCAGACGGAAACCATACCCCTTCTGTGGACAGCATCCCGACACCGCAACAGAAAAATGGGAAGTGTGTCAATGCGCCGCCTGTGGTACATTGGGTAGAGACAGTCCCAATTATAGGACGCCATATGAACACGGTATGAGTGCCATTGATTACTTCTTACGTACGTGTAAAGCATCACTGGTGAACCAATTTTGTTAGCACTCTGTGATGTAGACTAGAAGAAAGCAGTTCAGTTTTCCATTTTATTTTTCATGATATCAGTTAATTTGCGCACTCAGGCACGCACATGAGATTTGGAATTTCAGAATGCCCATATGAGACACAAGTGGCTTTTTTATTACTCAAAGGGTAAAATGCTTTGTTAAAGATTTAACAAATCATTTGCACCTTTAAGTAGTATGGTGGAACAGCGTAGTAATGTGATGAATTTGAAAGTATTACTTGGTTTGTATCGAGGCATTTTTTTGGCTCAATATGATAGAGTGCATGATTTTGATGAACCATGTAATTATTATGCATCGTCACGCTCGGCCGTTGCAGCTCAAGGGTTCAGTCAGGGAGGTGGAAAAGAATCCATACACTGGCCTTTGAGCAATCAGCAAAATTCTTGTCAGCTGTAAACCTAGACGGCCTCTGCTGGTACTCTTGCACAGGCAGGAGGACTCTTGTAGCAGTGAGAGAACACCTCCACTGTACATTTTCTGTGCTTCTTAGGACTCGTTGCTTCTTATAAAAGATATAGGAGCTTCTGAGGTATCGTGTCTCGGCCTCAGTGTGCCTGCAAAGTTGTCAGTGAGATTTCCTTTCAGCCACATAACAATTTCGCATTGGGAAGAACGCTCAGTGTAGCTTTGGGCAGGATTGCGATGACTGGCTGGCACCTTGTGGGATGAAGAGAGGATTGAAGGAAGAAAAAAAAAATGACATGGAGAGGAAAAAATGTCTTCGCCTTTAAGAATCCAAGTGGAGTAGAGTTTAGATTTGTCTTTGTTGTTTGTCAGATCACACGGATTGGATGTATTTGACAGTATACAGACCCTCTGCATATAATTGTGCACAGCATGTTGATGTTGGTGAACTCTGGGTTGCTGTTCCCTAAATTATAATTTAGCTTGACCTACCATATTTTCATTTTTAATCACAAAAATTCTGCTACAAATGTTTTCAGTGGAAAGAATAAATGTTTTGTTAATGGGTGTTGATGTACAGAAAACTCACGATTAACGACTTTGAAGTACAGAAATGCATGATGAAATTGAAGCATGCCTTATGTAGAACAGGGAGACTAAAGAAAAATGCAATGAAGATTCTGATATATTAATGACATTCATTGATTGCCTACCACTTCTATGCATACTCTGTCTGAGAGGCTGTTGTGCATTTTAAAGGAAGCAGAGAGTTAATTTTGATTTTAACTGTGTTCATTTCTTCACTCTTACTTTATTTGCTTTTCTGTGCGGGCAGTTGCAGGTTTTTGTTAATTCTCCTTGCAATTTCTAGTTGTTTGACCTTAACAGGGCTCAATCTCCTCATTGCAGTATGGGTAAGGGGTAATACTATTGTGGTTTCCTTGCTCTTGTGGCTACATTTTGTTAAGTTTGAGAAAACAATTTACTAATTTTCATTCAATGTCTTTTCCCCTAGAACTTTGGGATAGTTGAGTGGCTGTCCAAGAATGGCTCCCCACGACGGGGGCTGCTCAAGATCTTCACCAAGCCACACTCACGGGAATGGCGGAATGAGTCTAGCATCCTGTACCGCTTGAGCCAACTGGAGCACCACCGCAACATTGTGGAGTACCTGTGGCACTCCAAGAGCTCCCAGACCAAGCTGGACCGGGGCCAGTCTGACACCGCCCATCCAGATCAAGAAAAGCCAGCCATTCAGAGGTAGGCTTTTTTTGGGCTAGGGCCAGAGGTTGTGTTCTTGAGCAGGATATTTTTACTGCATGCATTGATGCCAAATAGTTGCAAGGGTGTGGACACCAGGTTTATGTTCACTCCTATCTTACCTATTGTTCCCCTGGCTTCTTCAGTGCATATCCAGTAATCCAGTGTTCGAAATCATTTGCAAAGGAAGATTTGCACAGCCATTGCAGTGGAAGAACGAACACCCCAGATATTCATCATGAATGCACACTCTGTCCGAGCCGGCTTATCCTGGAGGTGGTCAAACTATTTTAAGAACAGCGCTCAGTGAACAGTGTCAAACAGTTCCATGCTGTGGTTACTTAAACTCAGGATGTCAGTTCAGTCAAAATGTGGGTTCAGCTCTGGTTAAGAGGCAATGCTATTAGCGTCAAAGACATTTGAAGTGTTTGGCACTTCCATGCAGCAGTTGTTTCTGTCTTACTGGGAGAATTATGAGAGTCTTCTGAGGTTTCTGTGGGGGAACTTGCCATGATGCTAAATGTGAAGAATATAGTGAGGTTGAAGTATATTTCTCCAATGACCAATAGCCAAGCCGTGAACGGTGGAGTGCTTATAAATGCCGTAATCATTGATATCATTGAAGATAATCTGTGCAAAATGTTTCGGGAGAAGGGACATTTTCAGTAACAACATTTAACCACGCATAGTTCTTGCAAGTTAGTCTACTAGATAGTACAAACGTAGGCTTACATGTACATGTACCCATTCGGTGTTGTATGGAATGTTGTTTTCTTCTGGTCACAGATTTATTTTCACTTTCCAGGACTTGGAAAGGTTCTCTGTAAAGCTTGGACAGAAGCCCAAACACATTAGTTTAAGTTTCACAGGTTTCCTTGCAGTTGTGATTTTGTTCACTTGGCTTCCTGCTTGAACGTGTTGGTCTGTGCCAAGGAATTTATGCGGCAACAACTCGTGAGGATTTGAAACAAAACTGAAACATACAAATGTGTAACATTGGCAGGTGTGTTCACTGCCTGCAAAGCACCTGTAGTAGTACTACTTCATGAACAGTTGTTGAGATCAGTGTTAATCCTAATCCAGGGAACCAGCAGCTCGTAGTACATGTATTTGCTTAAACTTTCAAAAAAGGAGCTGACTGCACCTTTTTCAATTCTGCAACAGTGTCTAGATAAAAAATTTCTCGGTGAGATGTTTTTAAGATCTGGGAAAGTAGGGGGTAATTTTTTTTTCACTGAAATATACGATGAAGAAATCTTGCTGGAAATTTTTCCAAGTTTAGGTTTAGCTGTGCTTGCTTTCCTACCAAACTTTTGAACACAAAATTGTGGGAGTTTGATTGCGTGTCTGTTTGTGCATTACACTGACAAGTACTTGTCATCCACCATGGCTTGGAAATCTGCATTTTGGCAGTTGACTGCCCGACATTTGGTGCAGCCTTACATTTGGAGGCCTGACTTATTGTTCCCTGGGGAAAAAAAAGAAAGTCACGGACTTGTTCCACTTGAAATATTTCTCTGTCAGACACAAATACGCTTTCACAGAAGCTTTTGTGGTTGTACTGCATTGGCACCAGACAGGGTAGTTTCAAGTTCAGACATACTGTTCGTTTGTGAAACTTTATCCCTCAGCCAAGCATTCTGATCAGTTACACCGATGGAAATACTTTATTCCCTTTATTTGGTCAAAAAGGCCTCAGTTTCAGTTAACGGCTTGTTTGATCTGTCGCATAGTTTGCTATTTGTGAAGAACCTTCTGACGAGGGCATTGTACAGACTCTATTAGCAGGCTCAATCAGATTCGTGGACAAGGTTTGGTTACTCATTCATTCTCAAGATGTGCAATCTGAATCAAGATCAGAGCACACTGGAAATTGTGCCAAATTTTCATGCACCACGTGTCCTTAGCCGTAAACAAGTAGGCCTACTAGTGTTTAATAATTCCACATAGAGTGCACAGCATTAACAGAAGTAATGGACACTGAGGCACTGGTACACGGACATGCATCTCTATGATATGGCTACCAAAATGTTGCTCAAAAGGGGGTGTAGCACAGCACATTTAGATTCACTGAATACTGCATGCTGGATTTTAGTAGCCAAGAGATTAACATAACTGGCCTCACACTCTCTCTTACTGCAGGTATTACTTTTTTTTTGCAATCGGTTTTATTTCGGCATGACAACCTATACATGTGTCTTTATATTCATCCTGTGTATTTGTTACAAACAAACGCAGGGCACTAACACGCGTTAGACTTACGCAGAGCAGTCAGTCTCCTCGCCAGAAATTGATGGAAAAACCGGTGCATCAATTTACAATATCCAGATCTGGACATCAGCCACTAATGAGTCTGCAGCTACAGTGCTGCATCTGACTGATCAAGCCCGATGGTCTGGCGGCGTCATTCCTGCATGCGTTGCCACAGCAACAGCCACAATGTATTTATGAATGACTGCAAGGGAAGATCATAATTGACGATTGCCTTTTGCTTTCTTGTGGAAAGATGGCGAGAGGCCTGTTAGACAGTTGTAGACTTAATTCCCCCTCACACTAGAGCTTGGTTTCAAGATAAATGATATCACTGAATCTTGTTCATCATGCATCCTACAGAATGTTTCTGTGTTGAGCCTGGTTTCCATGTCAACGTAAGAAACACAGAGAGCAAGGCAATCAAGATGCAAACTGCAACACTGACATATGGAAATATGTTAAACGGAAGTATCACTCATAACCCAGATATAATGAAAACCACCCCCGACAGATTGTCAAAGTTGAGCCTGGTTCAACTGTCTGCGTTGAGTCACTGCGTAGGCCTGTACAAACACGCCCACTGGCATGACGGGCGTACAACGATGTTTCTCTCGCTCAGTACCACTCATTTTGTCCATTTTCTCCTTGTACGAGCATATGCATCCCCAATCATCAACAAAATAGCTGACCATTGACGAATTAATCAAACTAGAGTATCAATTTAGCTTCAAGAGGAAACATTGCCACCTAAAAAGGGCATTTTTTTGCAAAAATGTTCCGAGTGTCAGACGCCATTTTGTTCAATTTTTTTTGGTGGAATGATGTCGCGCGATGTCTCTTCCACGAATGTCTGCGTCTTGACATCTTGCAGAATGTCTGCGTTGCAGACAACCATATGGAAGCCTGGCTTTACTCTGTGGATTTGACATGCATTACAGGGTCACTCATCAATACTGAGCTCTTTTCTCACACCTTTGAATATATTGAAGGTTTGTGATGGAATTTTAATAGATTTGCTCTCTGGTTGTCCTGTTGTAAAAAAGAAGCTTCTTGTTGAGGTAATTCTTATGTTTTAAAAGCATTCACATCAGTTTCCTTTCTGTGGCAGTACACGGCATACATGCACTGTATGTGCTTTAATTGAAAGATTTGCCATCTTGCAGGAGGCCTGCTTGGTTAAAATTTATCACCCTGAAATTTGGATTTATGAGCCTGATAGTTGATTTATCACTGTAGGCGTGTACATGTATTGTACTGTATTGGTTGGTTGTTAGCTTTGATACAACGGAGCAACCAAACAAGTGATCAGTGCACCATTGGTGTTACTACCACCATCACAGATGTTCCTTTATCCTTGGGGCATTATATCAAGAGCAGTTTATAACGAATATCAATAGCTAAAGATTGATATTGATAAACAAAAGTAGTGAATCTGTCGTGAAACAAAAGGGCTTCGTTAATCTTTTATCTGCAAACGTTGAGCATTGCCAGGTAGCCTTGAAGTTTGAATAGCAAGGTTAGGAACAGAAAAAAAGAGAGAATAACTGGGAGCTAATGGTAGGCGTCTAATTTATTAAAACTGTTTGCGTTTGATGGATGATGCGTGCATTATTGCCGATGAAACTGCCAACAGCGTGTGTGCGTTTTCGGTCTTGAATGCAAGGGGGAAGGTAAATAAGTGTTACGGTGGCCGGACAATCAATTGAATTAGCGCTCGCGACAGGAAGGAGTGTTGGTGATGTATACTTTGAGTTCCTCGTACGCATGTGTGCCTGGGTGTGGGCATCTAAACACAGACCGTGGATCTCTGAGGTTGTTTACATAGACTCTAGATATCAGGACTGTTCCGCTTTAAGTATTGATTGCAAAATGGGGAGGGTGCTGGTTGTCATGACAACACATTGATCCTGACACGTGACTTTGTGGATGGCTGCTTGGAAGACATGAAACAGTGTAGGGCATAGGCAAATGTGAAATATACAGGAAAGAGGGGAAACTTGTGCGGTAGCATGAAATTTGACGTTGAATGTATATGTTGCAAAATTTAAGTAGCTTTTTAGCTGTTCCCAATCTCAAGTCCGATCAATTTCAAACTTGGTGTAGTAATTAACCATCATCAGAAGATGAGCCTCGAAACTTTTGTACTGTGACATCATCAGGAGTCACGTGACCTCAATTCAAAAGTTCATACTTTACAGTATAATAACTAGTAAACTGTTTGACCGATTTAACTCAAATTTGGTATGCACATGGTCGGGGACGTGTTATAGATAAAAGTTGTTATGTTGACCTCATGTGACCTCTACTTCTGGTTTGACCGGAACTTGTATTTCAACACACAAATCGTCATATCTCATGCACTATAGGTTTAATTGCAGTGATATTTGGTTTTTGTGATACATGCCACTTTGGTAATTATTTGTAGTCCAAATGATTGCAAACTGATGATACTCGTTCACAGTCATCAAAAGACAATAAAAACATTTTGGGAATAGCTATGTGTTTGTTCACCAACACCACCTCTAGTCTTTCCTTGTTTTGCTTGTTTTTTTGGGGGGGAGACATCTTGAACAAAAAGGATGATTTTCCTCCCGGGACTGCCTTGTAGAATGATGAATTACAGAAAAGGAGGGCGAGGGGCTTAAGAAATGAAGTGAACTTTACCGTCAGAAAACTACAGCGTAGCAGTGACCATGCATGGATTGCCCCCTTACATTACTCTCATTTTCCGCATAAACTGTTACTCTGAGTGTGGGTTGTTCAAGTCTGGAACGTTTTCTACCTGTATGTGGGAATTAACCTTTTATCCAAATAGATTTGTGTCCCTTGTAAGCATTGCAGCTGTCGAAGCAGAAGAGCCATTAGACGGACGTAGGCGTGTTCCTTGTGTTGCCATGCATATATGCACCCACATGTATGCAAGTTTCAGCCTGCATGTTCTGTGAAATTGTTGTAAGTGAAAAACCGTTTAAGGGCTGCATGCAGTGTGCATCCAATTCAAAGATGTTTTGACCCTACCGATTGTGTTTTAGATTTAGAGTGAGTAATGTTACAGTGAGTCTGTGTTGCTCCCAATGTGACTGTCATTAGTAATAAGGCTAGCCTTGATAAAAAAAAATGAATGTGCTATCTGCACATTAGATTTATTTTCACTCTTTGATTTTAGTGGCTTGGCTAAACTGTATAATGTAACATACATGCATGTGAAATTTTGTGAGTACTGACTAATTATAGATAGGGAATTTCAACGAAGCCTAAAACAATATTACAAGCCTGAATTCTTGATTTTGTGAAATTTGTGCTTTTTAAATCTATTTCTTTGAAATACACATCAGAAGCTCGCCATTTGTTTTCACATCCCAACAATAGGACTTCAGAAAATTAGCAAATTGTCCCTTTCTGCCATTCAGGACTTTGGACCTTATTTATTACTTAAATGGCATGGATGGCTTGGATAGCCAATGAAAGTCTTTCGATTTATTTCAAGTGGGATCCCTTGAAACCTGTATAGAGACAATTAAAATAGTCAAGTCGTAGAAATCAGAGGCAAAGCCTGGACAGATATTCCAGAGAATCTAAGAACAGAAAACCAAATCCACATTAACCTAATCAGGATTCGAATCCAGGTTGCAGAGGTGAAAAGTGAGGAAAGTACCAGTGTGCCAACCTGACTCCTGACTTGACTGTGTCGTTCACAGTCCTCTTCACAGCTTCATGTACATGTATGTGTATGGCTAGTTGTATTCCGTCCTGTGCTTTTCCTTTCTGTTTATGAAAATCACTTTGTAGTGGTTTTGCACTTGGTAGCAGTTGTGAATCACTTTATGGCTGGAAGGTCACTCCACATATGGCAGATACATGTGTATGAAGGCCTTTTTGAGTGACTGGTGCCCATGGAGTTACAAAAACAAACCTAAACCTGTACCCATGTAGACATTTTAGAGCCACTTTGCAACATGGCATCCATGACATTGTCCTTGGTCCTCCGTCAGTCCATCTCTAATTGAAGCTACATGTACATGGTTGTCATGAGTGTCACATGATTTTCTATGATAGTGATGTGTTTGGTTTGGAGAACCTTGGGGCTGTTCTCCCAAGTTGCTTGCAGCTCTGTCTGTACAGCAAAAAAGCAGACTTAATGTACACATCAGCATTTGTTTGTCACATATAGATCAGAGTTCATGTTACTACAGCTGCTGAATCGCGTAGGGATCTCAAAACGTCCAGGCATCAGGAAAGCAACAGGTGATCCCGCTCCCCTCCAGCCAACAATTTGTAAAAAACATGTATTTAAGTGACTGTGAAGTGAAAATAGAATGTAATGTACAAGTATGACACATCAGGTCCTCCGGCTGTTTTTCTTCGTGACAGCAGCTAAGTAACGGGCCATCTTAATGGACGGCCATTATCCACAAAGATGTGCCTGTGTTGCCGTAGCCTTGCTCTGTGGTCCTATCAAGGATTTATGGATTTCACCTCCCTGGCTGTGAAGTTTGATCTCCCATCCTATTTCTCCTTTCCCATCTTGAAATTGAACATCGCAAGACACTTTGGTTTCAATCAAACATGCAGGAGTGCCACCACTTTGTTATTTACCCCAACCCGTAAAAATCAATCTGTCCTGAGTCACATAACAAGAAGTCAAGGCATCAGTGAGTTGGTCAGTAAATCACTTTGCTGGTCATCAGTCACTGCAGCGAATTCAGTTTATCAGCATTCAACAACTTTCCAGTAAACTATTATTGAATTTAGGCAGACAATTTGTAAATCAATCTTTAATCAGATCCATTAATCAATCACTGAATTGAGCATTCAATTAATTTATCAGTCTGAAAAACACTGAATACTGCCTGTGTACCCGTTGTGATTGAAAGCGTACTGCATACCTGTGTCAAAACCAAGAAAATGCTCATAAATACATGCTCCCCTGTCAAGGGAAATGTCAGTGTTCACGGACCATTACTCTTGGCTGGGCAAACCTGTCCAGACAGGAAAGGTGCAGAGTGACTGCTGTACACCTAGGCAACCACCTTGGCTTTGACCCCTGACCCCCTGCTGCTCCAACGAATCTTAAGATGCTGACAGTTCTTTCTCCCTTTTCCTCCCCCCCTTCTGCCCTGATATCCGCTACTATTAAATTTGGATCAGCCAGGCTAGTGGGATGGAAGTCGCTGCATGCATGATGGAGAAGGCTTAAATCTGGAAAAGACCACAGGGATTGAAATATTCATCAGGTTGTCGGAAAAATCCTACGGGTAAAAGTGGGTTGAGAAATTCACTGTATATTTTAACGCTAACCCATGGAGATTTAGTTGTAACTCTACGTACATTTGTAGTTGTGTGACAAAGTACTTTTGTGATAAAATTTTACTTTAATTAATCATCTTGTCATTAAGCAAAAAGCTTCCTGTTGTTATATTGACATGTGTGTTATTCTACCGTCAGCCATCAAAATTATGAAGTGTGCTTTAGTTGTACAGTGATAAGCTTTTCTCAAAATGCATAATGACTGCGTGTGAAAAACTAGTGATTAACGCACTTTGAACAATTGAAACATTTTACGTCGTATGAAAATAATGGTTTGTTCTCAGAGTAACAGTTTGGCAGCTATGGCAGCTATGATTAAAAAAGATGTGTGTTTGATTTGGCTTCAGACCAAGGTTTGTCTTAATATAAAAGCACAGTCATACAAAATGAGTTTTTAAGGCAGCTTGATTACAGCAAAGTTTTGTAATTCATAGGAATTGTAGAAAACAATATGAATATTTGATTATTATCTGATAATTAATATAAATATCACAAAATTTCTTTGGCAAACAAATGATAGTATAGAAATACATCACAACAGAAAACAGTGAAATTCGTGAAAATAGAATGAAATTGCCTGAGATTCATTAACAATACAAGTTACAAATCAAACTGAGGAAAGGTGAAAACTAGCCCAAGTACAAAAATGACCAAAAAAGGGCAAAACAGCAACAACATTGACGAAGCCGTCATCAACAACAAAGAATTGCACCTTGTAGGTCTGAGTGCAACTACAACAGTACGTCTTTAAATAAGAACAAAAACAAGCCAAATATGTGCACGTTCAAAATGACCACAGGAAATATAACAGAGACAGACAATTAGAAAACAGGGGTACATCATTTCAGAGCAACAAATATAAGTAGGCCCCTATAGCAGAACAAGGGTAACAAGAGAAAAATAAAAATGCAAACAATGTCAATTTTGTCAAATATATGTGTATTTGTAGTAAACCCCCCTCGGCTTCCTCATGGGACTGAGCCAGGACAATATACCCCATTGTCTCCTTGACCTTCCCTTGAGTGCACTGGCAATGATGACCTTCTTGATTCTGACTTGTTTCCAGATTTGTCTGCACGGCCTATTATCAGCATGGCACCCTCCGAGATTTCCTCCACAGTCACCCGCGCACCATTCAGGAGAGCCACGTCCATGCCATAGCGACGCAGGTATCAGCGGGGATGGCCTATCTCCATGCCATGAGAATTGTCCATGGCCTCATGGAAACAACCAGTGTTTTGATTGGTGGGCACATTGAGGTAAGTCGAGGATCCATTGAGATCTTGAGTTTTGATTTGGGTTTTCAGTAGATTTCTATTTTTGCTATAGAGATGTATACATGTTCATGTAGGCATAAAGTGAGTTACCTTCCAAAATTTGGATCATGGATAGGGGGAGCTGCTCCCCAGGGTGAGGGGGGTCACCCCCCCCTGCAAATGGTCATGCTACTGACACTAAACGCCTGTCTCTTTGTCGATACCTGCCATCGAGTACGGGTACTTTAGCTGTGGTACAGTATAATTACAGATGACGCATGAAACCTCTTGGTGCGGCTAATTTACAAAATTGAATGTGCATAGACCAGATGATGACGTTAATATCTGTTGTTGAAACTGACGAGAGCCGTGCACTGCAGCGAGCATCTTGAGAGTGATGTCTGAAATTGTTTCAAGAGGACGGACTCCGGTGAGAGCGTGCAGCTCCTCAGCATCTTGTTATTCCCGGTAATCCTCAAGTCAGCACCTGGCTGCTCGCCGTCTGGCTGAATGCATTATTCATTGTTTACGTCGCAGATTCCCCCCTCCCCCCCGTTCCTGGGCGTAGCACCGTGGAATTGAGTTAACGGGAGAGAGCGGAATGAAACCCTAACACATTGAATACCATGTTCATCAACTGTGGGGGGAGACACTTTAGGTATGACGTCTCTTCCAACATGATAGTGCATTATTGATGTGTGTGCTGCAGCCTTTCATGCCCTTGCACTTTCCAGGATGGGAAGGCTCAAAATTCTTTTAAAGCGACAAGAACGTAGTTCCCGGTTTCGGTCAGATGTGGTTTGAAGATGTGTGACTTGTCCATCTTGAAGACAAATTAAGCCTTCTTGTGTTCCATTCTTTATAAACCCGCTGTTAGGCCATAACTTAATTTTGAATCAAACCGTCTCACAATATCACTAATTTGCAAGCCTGAGTTGCCCTTTCCCATGAGTGTTCAGTGCATCAAGAGTTTTCCCCACTCCTTTTCTCTTTAATATCACTTCCTCAGTTACATATATTTCTCAGTACCTTGTGAACTGAAAAGTCCATGTTTTGCATTTGTGTTTAGAACCTTCTCAGACAAATCATTTTTGCAGTTAGGGCCATTAGAATTTTATATTCCTTTAAAGAATCAGCATGTATGGCTCCTTTGTTCAAAATGTTACCGTTGACTAGAACTAGTAACATGTAAATTGTTAAATTCATACCCAAACATGTTCCTTTCCACCCAAGGAACAGGCTCCGTTCTTGTGTGCATGTAATTATCAATCAAACACTCTGGAACGACAGGCTCCATTCCTGTGTGCATGTAATTATCAGTCAAACACTCTGGAACGACAGCTTTGAAATTGATTTGAAATTGGGTTGGATTGAGTTTTCTCAAGGGGGATCGGAAAAGCGAAGGTTTTCCCTGGCACAAAATGGGGAGGGGGAACCTTTCAGACGAGAACATACGAGTTTTACAGATTGTCAAATGTCACTTGAGACAGTGTTCCCTTCTCACACCCGGAGATTAAATTGTGGTTTGGAGATGAAATTGGTTGGAGGTAATCTCGATCATCAACACGGAGAAAGAAATTGCAGGGCGTAACCGGTTTACTCCTCGTGAGTCAGAAAATACTGGTTGGAGGGTGGGAGTTGACAACAATGAGCAGCACTGTACTGTTGGTTGTGGTTACAGGTACGCTTTGACCACTTGTGAATTGGGACGGGTACCTGTATACTAACGAGGGTACTGCCACTGGAGTTCATGCACTGGTTTTCAAACTGCAGTCATTTAGAGCAGATTTTTTTTTTAACAAAAAGGCAAACTGCCTCAAAGACTCACTGTGGATTCCTGAAACATATCCCTGAGCTACACCTGGATAAATTACAAATCCAAAAGCTGTGCACAGATGATTGCTGCATGAATATATTGAATTTTATGGGGTGAAACTCCTCCGAAGGAATAGGTGTACAAAGTGGAATCCACCCGTAGGTCCAGGTTGAATGCCAACTTAATTACCTCGGGCAAAGAGCTGGAGTAGGCCCACATGTAAAACTGATGGAATCTTCAACTTATACACCTGTACATTGCTGATCTCAGCAAAGATATGATAAAGCGTCGGTGCTCTCTTCCCTCATGTGCATCTCTCAAAAATTTTGAAGCGAATGGGTGACTGTCGTCATTTTGAAAGTTGTCAAACGACTACAGGAGAAGCTGGAATGCTAAGCAGATTTCCCCCATAGAATACAAATTGAAAGAACACACTTTTGTTGGCAGTTTAAACTGCTGAGAATGGTGAATATTTGAAGATTCAGAGATTGCGCACAGTTGGAAACATCGACAGTGTAGCCAATTTTGAACAGGCGCCACTGACAAACCTTGTGCCCATGAAGATTTTGAATTATTCGCCATGCAGATCTGCTCTGCATAAATTTGTAACCTGTGTTGATAGTAATCACCTTCCAAGGCCCCCCGCATACATGTACCTTTGGCATAACCTTGACACCCTTTGCACCTCAATGTGTGTATGGGGCACGCTCATCATCAGTGGCCTTCAGGCCTGTAGGCTGGTCTGCATCCATGATCAGTTGCCAGCTCCCTGTCTGTGTCTCTCCCCAGACCTGCGACCTTCCAAGGGACAAAAATCCAGGAGTGCACTTAATCCTTGATTGTAACTGCACGTAGTTCCTAGATTTCTTGCATGCATTTATGGAATGACAAAAAAATTTAGTTATTTTCAGATATTTTTAAATCAGGTAGGCATCTGGCTGCCTGTTTGTCAAAACCAGCATAAAAGAGTGTAGGTTTCCTTCATCCTGAAATAGAACTGAGTATGCAAAGGAAGCCAGACTTTGCTTTAGTTTTAGTCCAGCTGTTTAATGTACATGTATACCTCAGATGTTGTTTCTTGTATTCAGGGGTTTTTTACATATGAATAGGACTGCAGTGCAGAAGGTTTAGTAGGTATGTAAATATACAGTATCCCATTCATAATCTACTTTTCTTGGACCTAGCAGGCTGTAGTGGCTGAAATTAGAGGATTATACACGTACATGGTAATGTACATGTATGTATTATCCTCTGCAGAGGAAATTCGTAGGAATATAAATGTAGGTTTCGAGCCAGGTTGGCAGATACCCAATCCAAATACATTATGTGTGCTGAAATATTTTATTTTTTTTATCGTTGACTGCCGTGGACTTAGTGTTTTGGAAGAATAAAAACATCATAATTTGCATATTTGTCTCATATCTTATCTCCTCACCCAATTTACTTATATACTGCTGTATGGCACTTGCGTAGAAAAAGAGATAAGGCTTTGTGGATATTTTATTAAATCTATTTCTATTTATTTCGTGAAACCAACTGCAATGAACTGCCACTTTCAGGATTCATTTTTAGAAAGAAAAAAATAAACCATGTAAAATACCAGGTATTTTTCGATCTTTATATCGAAAAGTTTTACAGTAGTAATACAGACAGCATTATAAAAGCCACCAATGACCACAGCAGAAATCAATGATATGAAGCACAGCAAAGAGTTTGGTATATCCCTCCCCAAAAACACAAACTGATGAAAAAACCCTAAAATAAACACCGATGAATCTTGTAAAAAGCAGAGTCCTGTACATCTTGTAAATGAAATGCAGTTACATGTATTTGCATGACTACTGACTTTCGTTTCTCCCTTTAGTGTCACATTGTAAAACTTTAGGCAACTCGAGCCTGTCAGCATCCCTCAGTGAGAAGGTCACTCAAATGTCAGGAACATGTACATGTTCTCGTATAAGACGCTTCTCAAAGTCGTCAAAGTTGTACAGTACTACAGTTTGCACTAACCTCAACTGGGAGGGGGGGTTAGAGTCGTGTCTATTCATGGCTTGCAGAAAACCTGGAAAGCACCTTAAAATACTCCGTTTTGTGAAATATTTGAAGTGTAAAATTTAGAGTTCTTTATATGAAGTGGAAAAGCTTCTTCAGAAGTAGTACTCTTTGTGTTTTGAAGTTATTGAAACCACTGGCCATCACCCAAGCCCGAGCAAAGAAAATCTTTACTTGAGCCCGCTACCTAGATCACACTTTTTTGTTTTGGGTAACAGATGGGCCTGAAAGGAGCCCTTGTATGCACATTAACAGCTGAATTCAGCTAAATTCAGGACAGCTCAACATTTATGAAATGTTTACTTTAAGTAAGAGTCATGCTTTTATTTCTGTTTGTTCCATGTCGGCCTTAGCTTCATGTACATGTAGCTCAGAGGGTTTTTTTGAGCCACTAACAAGCATTTAGTTTCTAATTAGCGCCTGCCATTTAGAGGGATATTTTTGACTGACCAAAAAAATTCCTTGTGCTTGCAAGAAGTTTATTGTACCCGGTACATGTACATAAATACGTCTACATACATGTACACTGTCAAATAAATACCAAGGAATTACGTGTGTATTTGTATAATATGACTATTTGAAACATTTTCATTCTGAAGTTCATACAGTGTTATGTTGTCCAGATGAGAATTCAGGGTGCTTCTGGGAGTCATCGTTACTCCCACCGTGATTTTGTACACCGTTGTTCACTTTGCTGATCTTCACCTCGACATGCAGTGTTCTAAGAAGAAACAACATTACAATGCTGTGTTTTTGCCAGGATCATACCCCTGGGCTGAAAATCCCCCAAACCACCTCATCAGCTGATGCTGTTGCCAAGGAGGAATTAGTATTAAAAGACAAGAACCGCAAGTCTGCAACCTGCAACCTGCAGGTAGAGGAAAATGGCCACTTCCAACAGAACGAATCCGCACATGATTTATGGGTGGGATTTTTCAGGTTTATTATTCCAAAATGGTTTTATCTTTTCTCAGGCATGTGCGTATAGCTTCTGGCATACACATGTGAGTCGTTACTGTCAGGGGCCTGGACCTTCATACTTCATAAAAGCCTGACACCGAAACCAGGCTGCTCAGACGAACAGATAAAAGCAAGGAAGGAGGGTATTGGGTTTCCTAGACATTGTGTTGGCTCA